CCCCAAAACCCCAAAACCCCAAAACCCCAATATGAAATATGAAAGACTTGACAGTTGATAATTATTTTATAAATTCATGAAGGAGTTATTAATTTAATTGAATTTAATACAAACATGTAGTAAAGTGATTAAAAGGCTTAACAGACTTTTTAAGTATAAAAGCCTCAAATACAGTCTGCATCATCCAAAGAATATTAGAGTGATGCCCACTATACCAATCCATTGATAAAAAAGATTAGATGTAAGTTAACCAATGTATATTTTAATTTTTTGAAGAGGCCTGTATTGAAATGGATATCGGTATCGAAGAAGGAACCGCATATATTTATGAGGACGATATTGATAAAGCTTTAGCAACTATTTAAAATGCTCTAGTGGTTTTGCAAGTAAGAATTTTGTAGAATTGAAAATATAGACAGCTGAGTAAACATTAGAGAAACTTCAACCTTAAACTTAAGTTCAATAGGAGCAATAGTTGTTACTGATCTATAATTTAGTTATCTTTTACAATTTATCTGCGTGCTACCAACGGTAATATTGAAATTACTCATAACTTAGTTTAGTTGAGGCTAATATCAAGAGAGTGATGAAAATATTCAGGTAGCTTTAGTAAACTTGAAGAAACTAATCGAGATGCAACAAATCAAAGTTGAGAAAGAAGTTAATTTGATTCAGGCTCAAAATATCTTCTCAGCTGAGAACTTAAATCAATATAAGCAAGCAACTGTGAAAAATTAATAGTAATAAAATTAAGCAGAGTAGCAGTTTTTATAACTCCAAAATGACCTTAAAAGCAAGATAATTTCCCTATCAGTTGCAAAAGACACCCCTGAGTAATATAAATTACTGCACTATAAAAGATACTAAGCTAAACTGACATTATAATCCTGTGCCATTAAGTCATAGCTAGAATAGCATGATAAGGCACTGATTGGTGCTAGACAAGGATTGAAAACTTGCATTTAAGTCTTTAATTGCAGCTATATAATGTGTAAATCTGAGATATAGCAGACAATAGGTATAGAAAATATTGATCCTTAAAATAAATCATCCAATAAGCCTAAGGCTAAGAGCATGGTGACAAATAATAATCTCAATCAAACCAAACTAAAAGAATCTTAATACTAATATTAAAGTAAGCAAAAAAGCAAAACACCTCAGAAAGAATAATAAAAGAAGCAAAGTTATAAAAGAGCTGATAATGGCTCCAAAATTTCATAAAGGAGGCAGAGTCATGATCCAAAGCCTGTCAAATTATTACTTAGAAATCATAATTTGAGGAAGACTAGCTCTCCAGATCCTAGTATCATTTAAGGAGATAATTCTAAATTCTATCGAAAGGGAGGATCAAATACTTCTCACTCACCTTACTCAGCATACTCATATCACTCTAATGGTTCTGATAGTCCAAAAAATAGAATCTTAAAACCAAAAATGTAAAAGCTTGGCTTAGGTTCTAGAAAGTCATCGATTAAATCAACTTTAAAATTTCATTTAAGTGGAAGTGAGGATGAATAAAGTTTAGAGAGAATTCACACTTTCAATCTTAAGAATGATTTGAAATTGGCAGATATTTTATCAGCAAAAAAAAGAGAAAATGCGCAAAATTAGAATAAAGAAAATGAAGACATAGGTGATGATAAGATATCTCCATAGAAAATAAAATAATTGATGTTGTATAAAGAGCTAGGACCTGCCTTAACAAAAATCTCTGATGAAAAGTAAATGTCTTTGAACTCACCCACAAATTAAGACCCTTTATTGTAATCAATATCTACAAGAGATTAATTTACATCACCAAAACTCAACAAGAATATAATGACAACTGAAGACAGAATTAAAAAGAAGAAATCAAGGCAGACTGTTGGGCCTATTAATTGCTATGTAGAGGAGCAAGCCAGAGTGCTAGATTCTTTTATGTATGATTCATATCAGATTTTTAAATCTCTAATAAAAAGGCTCAACCATTTTCTATTGTTTACTCAAAGTAAATAGCCTGAGAATTTCCAGGAATTTGAAGATAATTGTGTCTTAAAGCAGTTTCTGGAAGTTAAAAAATCCTTCAAAAGTAATTAATCGTAAAAAAACCTAAAATTTGTTAAAAATTTCGCAAGTTAATAGCATGTTGATGCTCTAAGGAAGAATGATAAGTATAAATATGCTGGGAGAAATGTATTGGGTGTGCGATAAATAGATGATTGGATTAATAGTCTAGAAATTGGTCATGTGATGTAGCTTAACCCAATGACAGCATAAGAATTAACATAAACAATAAATAAACATCATGAGTTTTAGAAAGATCCTATGCTGGAAAAATTAGTGCTCCTAGTAGTAGCGTTTTTTTCTATTGGTACAGAAATGAGATTAGTTGTCCAAGAAGATAAATCTAAGGATCTCTTTAAGTAAAGCGAACTATGGCATGCTTAATCAGTATTTTTCGGATCATACTATATCCCATCTTAATGTCCACTAGTTACACATGTAATAAACAGCTATTTCAAGCATTATGCAGATAGCTAAGAAAGTAAAATTGAGAGCTTATAGATTCCTAATAATCATGAGGGGTAGGATACCAAAAGATAGAGGGATTAATAAGGAAAAGTTAAATAGAGTAAAACAATACTATAGAAGTATTTGATAAAGCAGATAGTTCATAATCAAAAAGATGGAAAGAGCTCTCCAAAATATAATAATCTCATTACAACGATTAGTGATGAAAGAAGAGGTTCAGGCTAAGGACTAAAAATAAAAAGAGATCTATCCTAAAGAGAAACTAGAAAGAAGAGTAAGACTAAAGTAGTAAAACTCCAAAGAGTTTCTAAAGAGAGATCTAAAAGTCCAGCAACTTATACTCTCTCTTAAGAAAATAAATCAATTACCAAGAAGAGATAACCTACTCCAGAAAAGAAGAAAACTATTAACTAAAATAGCTCAAAGATAAACTTACTAAAAGGGTTTTTAACTAATACAATATAAAAAGATTAGTTAAATTGCTCCAATAAAAAATCTGCCAAAAAATCAAAATACAATATGTTTGATGGATCTATTGGAAAAAATTCATCAACTAATAATTAAGAAATTATAAGTATTAATGTACCAGTGAATCTTGAACATTTGAGCTATAGATATGATGCATCTCAGAATCATGATTATACAAATTCCTGTAAAAATTAAACTCAGAGGAAATTTTTGTTTGTCCCAGAGGAACTTTCTGAAATAACTAGCGATAGGGATTACGAGAGATTTAGATTTGATCTTCCTATGCAAACAAACAAGAGGGTTACAATGCTTAAGAATATATAAAGCTAAAGTGATCTTAATTTTTATAATAACAATCACCTTTCCAGTTCAACTTAAAGACGTGCATCATTGAATTCAACGCAAAAGAAACTCATAGTTTCTAAAATAACTTAGTAAAGGACTAAAACTCCTAGTAGAAATTCTCTGCAAAAAACAAATAGTGCAAAAGTTGGGATCTAGTTAGCCAGTAGGTAAGGGATCAATGAAATACTAGAAAAATAGAGAGTTAAGCAATTATAGACATTCACGAGATTGTAATAGAATACTAATCATTAATCAAGATTTATTAATGGATAGGATACACTTATGTCTAGAGATATGATAAATCAAGTAGGCTCTACAGAAAGATTTCAAAATTCTAAAACAATTTAGGCTAATATAAATCAGATGAATAGCCCTCTGAGCAATACAAACCATTAGTACCCTAACTGCTATATAATTGCATCTCATGGAAATATCTAACCTTTAAAGGCAAGCAATAAAAAAAGAAAGAAAGATCCCAAAATATATGGGAATGGTAACATAGCACTCAACGCAGCAGACAAAAAAAATAAAACAGATCTAAGAAAATATATAAATATTTGAATTAATCAACAGCAACTTTATTTTTCGGTTTAATTATTAACTTGATTTTAATATTCAGAACTTCTGTTATTTCAAACTTTATCAGTATGGGGTTTTGGGGTTTTGGGGTTTTGGGG